TTGTCGATGGACATGAATGACAAAACACAGTGCCACCTCGAAGTCGAAACTAAATTGAACTCATAAAATAGTCATGTTCGAATAGTTTTCTTTGGAAGGGGGGGAGAGGCAGGGTGATTGTACAATGGACCCACTAGGTGTGATTTTTTTTTTAAACAAATATGTTTTCAAAATCTGTCAGACACCCCCTCATTCTCAAGTTGAGCAAACAATCGCTGATGAGGAATTAAACTAGGCGAGTACGACGCCCGGCTAGGCTCCGCAAAACTGTCGGCTTCCCTTGATTAGTCCGCCAAACGGGTTAAAAAATAAACAGCCTGATGAATGTAATGACAGTGAAGCTATAATTGAGTCGCTCAATACACCACTGAGGTTGCTACTTTGGAAAGGGACTATTTTTTTGTCAGCCCGTTGTTGAATGTTTGGACTTAAGCATTTTGCCGACCTGATAAAATTTATTTTCACATTGTATGCATGTTCTTTTTTAAAGACGTTTTAGTATGTAGGCCCAGACATAAAAAGAACGTACAATTTTCCAGAAACATCCATAAACCTTTATTCTGATAAACACGTTATTATTAAACCGAAGTGCTACATAGGTTAAAAAAAATACTCGTGTGCAGGACTGATGCTGGGATTCAAAGCCTAAACACACAAAAATATTCAGATTAAGGCATGCAGCCGCCAACGCTGTAAAGATTGACTGATGACTGGGGCTGCAAAAACTTTTACACAAAGGAACCTTGTGACCTTGCTATTCAGAATTTTTGAGATGCAAGCCATACAACCGAGGAGATTTAGCGAAGAGGAACATGTTTTTACGAGAGCTACCTCCATGGTACTCACACAAAGGGATAGTGGTACCTGGGTCGGGCTTTACAATTCTATAACGAGTGTTCTTTCGTTTCGTTCATATCTCATGGGTAGCCGATAGACGTGTATACCGAGCCCGATCAAATAAACAAAAATGACAATGGTTGATTTTATTTAAATCAACTGGCGAGACAGCTAATACTACGAAAGCGTATTGAGGACATGACCGAAAATATTTTTTAGGCCCACTACTTCGCCCCGGCGGATTAGTATTTCGCCCGGGCGGATTGGTATTTCGCCCGGGCGGATTAGCATTTCGCCCAGGCGGATTACTATTCCGCCCGGGCGGATTACTATTCCGCCCGGGCGGATTACTATTCCGCCCGGGCGGATTACTAATTCGCCCGGGCGGATTACTTATTCGCCCGGGCAGACTACTAATTCGCCAGGGCAGATTACTAATTCTCCCGGCCGGGCAGACTACTAAAAAATTCGCCAGGGCGAATTAGTAATCCGCCCGGGCGAAATAATAATTCGCCCAGGCGAATTAGTAATCCGCCCAGGCGAAATAGTAAAGCGTATTGAGGACATGACCTGTGGGGACAGGTAGGGGAGACGGGTAGGGGGAGACAGGTAGGGGGGGGGGGGGGGGGGGGGGGTCGGGGAGGGGAGGGAAATAGGGATTTGAGCAGGGGTTTGGGTGGGGAAGTGTAGGGGTGGTTGGGGATGGGTAGGTTGGTGTGGGGGTTGGGTAAGGGGAAGGGGCAGTTTACATGTATATGGATCGGAGTAGGGGTTGGGGTCAGGTGGGGATGTATGGGTCAATATGGGAAGGGGGAATGGGGTGGGCGGGATATAGGGATTTGAGTAGGGGTTAGGGTGGGGATGTGTAGGGGTGGGTAAGGAGGGATAGGGGAGGATAGGGTAAGTGGGTGTAGGGGTTAGGGTAGGGGGAAGGAGATAAGGATTGGAGTTTGGGTGGGGTTGGGATGTGTAGGTGACTGGGTGGGAATGGGTAGGGGGAGGATGGAATGGGTAGGGGAGGATGGGATGGGTGTGGGTAGGGGGTTGGGGTGGGGGAAGCTCATGGTAAGCGTCACTTCGTTAAAACTCGAACACAGCGTTATCTGATTTTTGAGTTTTCACGAAGTATACTCATGGTTAATTAGTTTAATAACTCATTAATGTTGTTCAATAAAACTCATACATCAACGCGTCATTCAAGATCCCAGCCTTCAGAAAATGCAACAAAATATGAATTTTGAGGCTAAAACGATATTCAGATCACCGTTTCAAAACACCATCAACTTAAATCGCTTGTATCTCGAAACGCACATTTCCTCTTTGCGGGGGTTAACGTAACTTCGTGGTTATGGTGTGATATTCGCGGTAACCCACCGATGCGATAACCTGCCCTAAACCCAAAGGGTGTATTCGGAACCGGCCCGTTCTCGTGTTCAACCAACTCGCGAACGGTGTTTACGAACAAGATTCTCACTCCCCACTGTACTGATTAGGGAGTAGATACAGAACGTCATGAAAAAAATGGCGAATTTGGGCCACTAAAACTTGCGTTGATATTTGTGTATACAATTTAAAACGTTTATTCACTGCAGGAGCATTAACGATACAAAAAAAATTCTACATGGTCACAGATTGGGCTTTTCTCTTATGCTTTTCTTTTGCCAATATTAAGAGCTGTTATTTGAATTATTTTCATAAAAATTCTTTTCATTTGGCGTTTGGATACGGCGGCTTCTAGCTTGAATTTTCGTCCTACTACACTTCACAAGCACTTGGGGGTTCGTAATCGACAACACGAATACATGTACACTGTTAGCCGGGGTGACCGTAAGGTCATGGCAATATTCTGCTAAATGCGCTTCAAAAAGTTGTCAGATTGATCAAAAATCTGCCAAATTCCCCACATTTCTTCGAAATGCACTAAAACTCCTTAAAATCACATGCAGATTTGTAGTACTTACTAAATTAAGGTTCAAATTACATTATTAACAATTTATAGTCACATAAAGATGTTATGAAATTATTGCGTAAATTTCAGGCAAAACGCGGTTGCGGCATGAAGTCCAGCTCCCAGTGAACCTCAGCGCCTAGACCAGCCAACCGTTCCCATTATGCAAGGGTTTGTTTGAAAAAGATTGAAGATTTCTTTAACAAATGTACATTTTTTTTCACATTTGCTATGGTATTCTGTAAATAACTATTTTTGAAGAACTCTGCCAGAAATATGCCAAAAATATCCATTATGTCATATTTTCTGTCAAACTCGTTTTTAAACAAAAGAAATCTGTCAAAGTTAGCCGAAAATCGGCTAAAACGGTCACCCTGCTATTAGCGGGTCACTCGAGGACAGAGTTTCGAATACGGCCATTGTCTGCCAGCCAATATTCCGAAATTGTATACACACAGTATAATACTGCAATTACTCAACATGGGACTCAATTACTCAACATTTTCTTCCGGTCAATGGCTCACCCAAAAGTGAACTAACTACAGTCGAATACCTTTATAACGAGGTTTTTTGGGACTTTACAAATTTCCAGTTGTTATAACGTGCCTTGTATTATCAGTAATGGCAAACAACGAAAAACAAAGACTATGGATGTTGTATTATTAAACAGTGCTCTTCTTATCAGGGTTCGACCGTTAATTCTTGAAAAAATGGCAATTCAAAGGAATGTGTTTTCTTTTTCGGGGTACGTGAACTTGAAAATAGCACTGGAAAAGCATGTGCACAGTAGCCTGAGACATGACGTACATAGGCTATTATGTACAACGGTTATTGTGTAAGCGTCTGTAAAATGTCACCAGACAGCATGGTATGTGTGCATTATTTATTTCCACAAAGAAAGTCTGCAACAATGTACTTTTCTTATGGTTCGTGGTACAATGGTTATCTTCCATGCACAAATGCTTTTTATTGGGGGTAGTTGCTCACATGTATCAAACACCTGCATATCCATATGCACACCGTGGGTTCAAGGAAGGTGCGAATTTGTTGACGATTTACCAGTAATCTAGTTTTTTTCAAAGAGTTAAGCCGTGTTGCCTCCGATGTTAGATCCATTTTAAGAACCAGATTTGCCTTAAATACCCTACCCCTGTAGAAAATGTAACTTACGGGTCAGAGTGTGTCTGGGATACATTGTACATGTTCATTGCAGGGCATGCCTGTGTGCAAACACGCTCGACTCGTTGGTCATCATCCCCAAATCGGAGATCGAGAGCTTGGGTCGTTCACATTTTGATCACTGCCATGCATGATGTCTATTCTAGACAAAAAATCAATCGAAGTTTACAAAAGGGATGGCTCGAGGAATAGCCTATTTTAACATCAGTGAACCGATGCTTTCTTCAACCTTTTCAATGACAGATAATGTAACTGATAGGAACCCAGAAACAAAATAACATGTAGACTCGTTGCAATGTGCTTTTAATAACTCATTGTGCAGAGATTGCAACCTTTTATCTAGCACTTCTGCAGACCGATTCATATCAAAAACCAGATAATTCGTTAAACCAAAGTAGAAAACTTTGAATATCGTGTACATCGCCCCGCCAGCAAGAAGTTTGTGCAACTTCACTGGTCAGCTCTTTTGTGGTGTGTAAGTGGGACTGGAAATGGACTGTAATTGCCTAAGTAGCGCATGCGCACTATAGTTCCCCCATTTCAGAGGAGATTTTACAAATTGCCCAAGACGTTCGAGTGTTCCTGACAGGTTCGAGGGTGATATCGGTTGGTCGTGATAACGCCCTCTCGCGGCGGCAGGTTATCGCATATCAAATTGCAATGTCTAGCTATGGACTAGGTTGCGGACTAGTAAATAAACTGCCATAAAATCCAGTGATAAATACGCCAATCGTTTTCTGTTTATATTTTGGGGGTTAACCAATGACGTTGGGAGGAAATTCCACACCCCTTAAAGTCATCCGTACCCCTAAAAAGTAGTCCTGTTGGTGATATCTGGGCTCCCGTTACGAAATAGAGCAGTTTTAGTAAAAGTGGGGCTGATAGGGAAAATATCTGGGGAAATGGTGCCTTTGATGATGCAATGTACAAGCATGGAAATTGGAAAATGGACAGACTATGTCATGAGAAAGATATTTGGCTAATGGGCCATCGCAGATTTGTCCTTTGCAAAACTATAAGGTACATGTACAATAATATGTTGTATTGTCTCTACACAGACGATGAACACAACAGTCGTCACAACCTGATTGTGGAGCTTATGGAAATGCACAACAAGGAAGTCATCCCCAAGACGCCCGTGAATGTCTCCTATAGCCTGTCACTTTTCTCGATCGACGGTGTGGTAAGTCCGTTGAATTGAAATTAGTGATCCACCAGATTTTGTGACCCGTTCTTCGAAAATTGGATTCTCATGTTTCGATACCGGATCATCTCCAGTTTTGCTTTATCATTAAATGCTAGTAGATGTTAAAGAAAATCACTTGCTTCATATACCATACAGTTTCATATTTTTGTAAGAAAACATTGACTTATGTTGAGCTGAAATCTTCAAAGTTATAGGACCCAAAAAGCAGGCGAAGCCGAAATGGAGACGAAGCCGAGATTTGGGATATCCCTATCCCTTTGGAATATCCCTATTTGAAGCAAATTTCGGGGAGGATACGCTCGGTTCACAATTCGTCCGAGTTGATTTTTTTGCCAACTTCGCAGCGCGAAAGCTTGCCATGACGTCAGAAATTCGCTTTTGTGTTTGTTTAGCATGCACCAATTACTTTAGTATTCATTTACTTGTATATTGTTGTTGAGCACTTTCGAAAGAATTCCAACAAAAAGTTAACGCTTGCGCTCATGTTTTGTTATGCATATTATTTTTTCTCAGAATAAAACACTTCTTGATTGGTTTAAATTGCAGGACGAGAAGGACAATATCCTCCGAATTTCGGCTTTCGCAACTTTGGTAAGTAACCAAACGACGAACCAGTTTGATCCATTAATATTTTTGTTTTTGTCAAACAATCAGAGTTTTTACAACAGCTTTGGCCTGGGATGGAACATGTTATAGAGTTTTTCAGGAGCTAACTTTCAAAATGCTTTGAACAGAACTCAGTCCCCCTTTTCAATAACGCCTTCTTGTGATTGTTCTCTGTCGTTTGTGATGGCCGCTTCATATTTCATATTTGCGCCTCCAAGAGTTGGCAACGCGTTGGCCAATCCCAATGCGCAAAATCTGTCGACCCAATGCACGTTTGGAAAAGGTCGACTGATTTCGTGCATTGTGATTGGCCAACGCGTTGCAAACTCTTGGAGGGGCACTATTGTGAAACGACCGTTTTCACCAATCCCACCGCTGCCACCTGTGGTCATATTGCCGCTTCGCGTTATAGCGCCACAGAAAGGGAACAAAAATTATTTCAGGGAGTTTATTGCCAACATTATTTTACATTTTACAGCTATGGTCTGATCACCGTTTCCAGTGGGATCCAGCAAACTACAGTGGAGTATCCAATGTGAATTTACAAGCAAGTAATATCTGGAGACCAGACTTGCGAATGCTGTACGCTCAGTAAGTAGCGTTTCTATGAGTTGATCTTAAAAGCCGTGTGTAGTTGAGTCAAAGCACTGTAAACATGCAGCAACACTGCACAGGTCACGCCACTTTTATTATCTATGTTTTAAAGACGAATTATTTGCAGTTTTGTAGTAATTTTGGAATTTTGTACTAAAGGAGTAAGGCCTAACGAGCAAGCAAGGTTGATACAGGATACACTTGTATATATATAGATAAATGGTCATTTCTGAATTTTTTCATTCACAATGACAATTTTACAATTGACATTTGTCAACCGAACAAGATGGAAATAACTTTATTTCACCTGTTTATTTAGGGTTGTGGAGGCAGATGTCCCTTTGGTGGCGCATTTCGATGGGACTATCAGTTACTTCCTTCCACTGCAAATAGCCATACCGTGCCCTTTTAACTTCAAGGACTTTCCGTTCGATGTCCACACCTGCGACCTTCGACTGGAATCCTGGAGCCATCCCGGTTCCGCGATCAATCTGACTATCCTAGAAGATGCAGTATCTACCTTATTCTACCATCGTGAAAACAGCCAGTGGGAGGTCCAGTCCTTCAAAGTGAATAGGACAGTGGTTGAGTATGAGGATTACACCACCACGCAGTTCATCACTCTGTCGTACCGCATCCAAATCAAACGCACAGTGAAGGAGTACACGGTCCGCTTTGTGGCGCCCTCTGTCATCACATCGCTTCTGATCCTGCTGTGTTTTCTCATCCCTCCACTCTCTGGTGGGAGGATGGTTCTCTGCTCCGTCGTCATCCTCGGCCTCTTGCTTCAACTCTTCCACCTCAACCAGACCGTGCCCATCCACGGCTCCGACGCCCCCTTCATGGCTCAATTTCTCACTTTCAGCGTGTTTCTGGCCGTCTTTGCAGCCGTTGAGAGTGTGGTGTCAATGAATCTCTCCAGTTGGGGAACCTTGAGTGGGAGTGGCAACAACAACAGTAACGCCCCCAAAGACGGGGAGGAGCTTGTGGCGCAACCCAAGCCAAATTTGGTAGGTTTCGTGTGTTGCCCTCTAGGCCCTAACAGACGTTTATCCACGATAGCAAGGTTGACAAGTTACCTTTTTTAGCACATGCATTGTTTCTATCCCCAAAGAGGCCTTGGAAATATATTTTAGACATAGACCATCTTACATTGAACATATACTTTTGTCCTTAAGCTGGACGAGCTATAGTCTGACTTTTATAGTCATGCCTAAGCTCGGGACAAGCCCACTTATGGTGTGTGCTTCGCTGGTTTCCAGTCTGTCAAGTCAGGCAGAGGTTGAGTTTTGGTCGGAAAGCTAAGTAGCACGGTCACAAGAAGAAGTGGCCAAAATGGGCATGTGGCGCCTTTTCATAGGGACTCGGTCGACTTCATTGAATACAACCAATAGGCAGCCAAGTGTTTGGGATCACTTTGACCGCTGCTACAGATTGTTCATGTTCAGTATTTGTAATTCGCAAGCCATCGAATTTCCAGTGAAAGTCACACATGATCATCAGACCTATAAGGATATCTTTGGAATTCGAGAGCAAAGAAAACGTCATTAGCATATAATGGCATGACGTCATCAGCAAACAAAGCTTCTAAGATAAAAGCCGCACATTTTTGGAACTGTGCCGATGACCCTTGGTGGCAAACACATCTGTAGTTGTTGCCATTTCGATTTTAATCATGTTTCTTTTCACTGTGATTTTGAACTATTGAACGTCTTGTCCATTTTTCTCTTTTCCTGTTCAGTTCCTGATGCAACTCGCTCGAATCATCGACTTGGTCTGCTTCGTCGTCTTCACCGTCATCTTTGCTATCGGTGGGGGCATCATACTCAATCCTTAAACGGAGTAGAGAGGAATGCGTGACACTTCAAACAGCACACAACCGGCACATTGTAAATTAAACCTTGAAATCGGGGACATTAATGTTCTCGATCTGTCGTGATTATAGGAATAGTATCAAAAATGCTTCCCCAATGCCATACAGTTGCATATCACTGAGACACTCTGCATTGTTGCTCATCTAAACCCTTCTATACAGGGTGAGTAAAAAAAAATGAAACCAAAATGTTGGGACTATTGTTTTAGTGAAGTTCTGTATGTATCACTTTCAAAATCTAGGATATGAAAGCCCAATTCATAAGCTTTTTTTTAGTATAAGAATCATTCAAATCACTCATGTACTTTTCAAGTTACGGAATTTTAAACACGAACCTCATTTTAAAGTGATGTCCAGAAATCACAAAAAGGTAGGTGTTCTTTCAGCAAAACGAAAACAAATCACATAGGATGTGTGTGAATCGTTTTCCTTTTGCTGAACACTTTTCTTTGTGATCCATGGACAGAACTTTAAAACGGTGGTTGTGTTTAACATTCCGTAACTTGAAAAGTAAGTGATTTGAATGATTCTTGTACTAAAAGTGAATTGGGCTTTTATATCCTAGATTATGCAAGTGCTATATGCAGAACTTCACCAAAACAATAGTCCCGTCTTTTGGTTTTCGATTTTTTTTTTTACTCACCCGGTAAACCATAATAATACCTGTGCCGTCATACCAAAGCGCAACTGACGGGCAGCCCAAATAACTGAGTATCCCTTGCATTCCATTTTCCTACGATAAAACAGATATCGCCACTTGAACACCAATCACATTTCAAGGAAGTTAGCAAGTTAGCAAGCGTGTATATAATTAAACAAGTAGTTCGGTTCATTGTATTTCCTAACAGCGAAGTAAAACAAGGTGTTCAGTATTTCTTAAGTTACACGGGGTGTTTACATTATTTCGTAAGAGCGTTTGTAAGCCCAACAAGGTGTTTAATATCTTTAAACAGCGTTAATAAGCTTAACAACGTGTTTAATATTTCTCTACAGCATTTTTGAGTTCGACAAGGTGTTTGGTATTGCTTAACAGCGTTTATATGTTGTATATTCCGTACAGTGTTTATAGGTTTTTGTGTTTGGTATTTCTTAACAGCTTTCATAAGTTTAACAAGATGTGTTATATTTCGCACGGCATTTATAGGTTAAGCAAGGTGTTTGGTATTTCTTAACAGCGTTTAAAAGTTTAACAAGATGTTTAATATTCCGCAAAGCGTTTATAGGTTAAACAAGGTGTTTGGTATTTCTTAACAGCGTTGATCAGTTAGGCAATGCTCATCGTATTCATTTACATCGTTTAATTAAACAAGGTATTATTTTTTTGTTAGCAGCATCTATTAAGTAATCAAGGTGTTAAGTATTTCTTTAAACAGTGTTTTTAAGTTCAAGGAGGTGTTTTGTATTTCTTAACAATGAAAATGTACGACAAAGTTTCCTTTAATTATAACTTTAAGTCAGGCCTTACTTTTATTGCAAAGTATACATATTGTTTTTCTAATTCTAATTCTAAATATAGCTTCGACTATAATAACATGCTCACTATAATTAAGCAAACGAAATTCAAATACAGATATGAACTGTTTAAGAGTGGCACCATGCACCTAAAGACAAATTTTCGAATTGAATTGATAATTTTCTAGCATTGCATTAGTTGTGAGCTTTCCCATGGGACATCGAACGAAAATGGCCCTCAAATGCTCTGAAACTGAATATTAAAGGCAGGCAAATCGGAAATGGCAAATGCATCTGCCTGCAGCAGTAAGACAATGTGGGCAAATGCTATCCGAAAAGTTTCCTTAGAAATGCGCACATTCCATACCGGATATGATTTCAGCGGACCATGTGGACAAAATTTTGAGCGTCGCATAATGCAATCCGACCGTTCGTGATTCGAAACGGAGCCTGAGCAAGTGACGGGAATCGAAAATTTACCGCGCATATAATTTTTACAGAATTTCCTATACATTATTACGCTTTCAAAGAAAATAAAAAAATCTCTAAACTGGGATAAAAATGAACCAGTCTTAACGGCCGTTTCAAACCTGGCAGAGTCATGACCGTGATGACGTGCAGGTCACAGGTCACGCAAAATCCAACCAATCAGAGTGTGAATTCATCAGAGTATGCCAGCGTCCTGTTTGCAGGGCGGGGGTACAAGCGAGGTTTATTACCATAAATTTCCAGGATTTGTAGAGCCGTTGGATAGTTCAGTTGGATAGGATCGTGATTTTGAATCACCGTTTTTGCCCGAATGTTTTTCCTTTCTAATCTGAGGCTTTGGAGGATTTTAAAAAGAGAAATAAAGTCCGAATTTCATTACTTTAGAAATCATTTTTTCCCCAAATTGTATATTTTTTCTCATGATTTTATTATTAGGAAAGTCCAAAACGTCGTAACGTGCACCCCATGCGGATATCGTTTGGAGAGGGAAAAAACACCTGTGGCCTTGCCATGTAGGCAGCTCTTTCTGGCAAAATATAGTACACAGCCGACAACAATAGATATAGGCCAACATGTCATAGAGCGTGTTATAATACGGAACTCAAGGATGTCGACAAGAGCCACTGCTCAGCTTCGCGTATGGCGTGCAAACTGAACATTAACTCTCAAAATTAAGATATCGCTATTTCTAATAGAGATACATGTATTTGTATTTCTGATAGTGTTGTCTTTGTTTCAAATAGAGAATATCTTTATCACATATCCCTACTAAAAATAGAGGTATCTTTTATGAAATAAACATATATCTATTTCATTTAGTGATATGTTTTATTTCAAATAGAGATATCGGTATCAGAAACAGAAATAATGTCAATGGAGAGGAGATGTCTCTATTTCCAATCAGGCGCGGATCCAAGGCCCCCCCCCCCCGCTGTGATCCAAGGCCCCCCCCCCCCCCCCCCCCCCCCCCCCCGCTGTGACACCTCCAAAAATGATACTGTTAATTATGTCCACCTGTGCAGGAAATACGGCTTTTTAGGAGGTATTTGTACACTATTCTGTAGTATAGAGTTAAAATGGTCGGATTTTAACTTATACTACTTTAGCGCCGCATTGAAAGTATGTTACGAGCCCCCCCCCCATTGATTTTACGAGGCCAAGTGTCCATACAATAAAAACTGTCTACATTTCAGCAATGATTTGCTGATGAAACACCCCCCCCCCTGCAAAAAAATCTCGATCCACCCCTGCAAATAGAGATACACCTATCTCTATTTGAAATAGAGATCGAAAATTGAAATAGAGATATCTCTATTGGAAGAAGAAATACCTTTATATTTTTTAAAATAGAGATATCATTACTAAGATAGAGATATCTCTATTTCGGTATTAGGTGTTACATTTGCATTCCATACTTTAGGGGCGATGATCAATACTTAGGCGAAAAAAAAGTTTATTTTTCACCCACATCAAAGCAATAATATACATAAAAGCATGGTCCCGCGCAGACGGGAGGTCGACGGGCGGTGATGAATACTTATTAAGCCACAAAAAAAAAACAAGTTGGAAAGTAAAATGGCGTTCCGCGATGGTGCTTTGGTGGTGGTTCTGGGGCTGTGTCTGCTGTATGTGAAGGGCGGCGCAGGTGCAGAGTCACAAGGTGAGGCCGTCATTGTTTTAACAAATGCCATATTTTCAATGGGGAGCGCTGATAAAATCCTTAAATCAGGCACACTATATTAGCTAAAAGTGTACAAATGCACCCTTATCACGACTATTTATTTAGGGGGAGACCGTTCGCATGTACGTCATTTTCTTAAATTTGGCTAGTGCAATTTTTCGATGGATTTTTTTTTTTGGGGGGGGGGATGGGCAAACTTTTTTTTTGGGGGGGGGTGGGGCTACAGCCCCCTAGCCCCCCCCCCCCCTTAGAACCCCGCCTAAGAAGTTGGTACCTTATCCTCTCTTAACTAATTCTTTAAAATGGGCTTGCGGTCGCTGCCGAATTTAATTGAGCGAGATCGGGGCAGTAATAAATAATCGTCTGATATTTTCTGCACGAACCCCGGTGCAGGAGGTTTTGTATAGAAATGTCTAGATACAGGTACCAACCTTTACAACAATGTGTTGGTAATGGCCGCCGGCCAAGAACCAAGCCTGCGTGCAACCACATGGCATCCCTACACTTTTTCAGGCAAATAGGACCCATTTTCAACCGTAATTTTATCTATTCTACCCTCAGATGGAAGCCCGAAAACCAGGGAATAGATCCTCGGCTATTTTTACACGATTTCACCGTGCATGGTTTTTTTTAAGCCATGCGGTCTTTTTTTCCTGCAAAAAACGTTGTGGGGCCACTTTTCATGCTAATGAACTCGCATAGACTGAATTCTCACTCACTGTGCGCAATCAAACGCCAACTAATTGCGTCCTCGGTCGTTCTAATAGTGTTCCTTCGTTTTGAACGAACGTAGTACGGCAGCAGCGTAGAAACTGTTCATCGCCCAATGAAAAGATAGACACAAGTGTGACCGGTGTCTTTGTTGAACATCCTAAATATTCATGTTTCAAAAGAGCTAGATTTGTGCACAAACTGCCTGAGTTGTTTGTCTTCCATAACCAAAATGCATTGTGAATATCAAAAAGGTTGATTGATCAAATTCAAGCTGCTCATTTACCCTCTTTTACTCTCTGTTCTTTTGGATGGGGAGATGACATGAGGCTATTTTCTCCTCCTTCAAATACGATCACCGCTGAACGTAGTCCTGAAGCCCGTGGCCAACTTGACCACATTTACCATCACCAAATGTTTACTGAATACAGAGTACACGATCTTCTAAACCTTTGAAATAACGAACGCGACTTTTAATTCAACAAGTTGGTGTTTACGATAGATTTACTTCGAAAATAATTACAATTCACTCAATTACAACAACGCTGTTTCTATTACCAAATTATGTTGTGCAACAACGAATTCAAACACAAAGACCATTTCGTCGGTATCTTTTATAATGTAGAAGTGGTGTACGTGTACGAGTAAAATATGATGCATGGATTTATAGGAATGACATTATAATTCTGAATACGCACCTATAGACTAAACATTATGTCTGCATAATTATGTCTTCCTAAAATATGAATGCATTCGTGCTAGGCGATAATTCCTTGTACATGCTACATACATAAAGCTGGTAACGGGCTATGTTTAATGGAGTCGTCCACTTATGTCATGTAACCATG